GACACTAGAGATAATATTACAAAAGCATTAGTTGAAGCAGAAAAATTTTCACTACTACAAGGCAACTTTCCATTCCCACCTTCTGGAGGTCAAGTGCCTAATCCCTATGAAAAAAGTATCAATACAGGTTTGACTGAAACTGAAGTTAAAAACTTGATAAAATCTATGATGCCAGCTACACAATCCATTGCTTCTAAACCTCAAGAAGAACAGTCTAATCAAATCACGCTTTCACAAAATGATTTCAAAAAAATTATAGCGGGTTTGAAGGGAACTATTGCCAAAGGACAGCAAACTTTGAAGAAACCCCCTGGAGCAGGGAAACAAAAAGCAGATGATCTTGCTATGAACCGTTTTTTAGAAAGTTTAACGGATGATGCAGGTTTACCAGAAGAAGCTTATGATTATGATCCCATTGAAGATCTGAGATTACAATTCGAGGAGTTGGATATCAATCAAGCAAATTTAGCTCGATTAATACATTCAGTTTTAAAGTCATCCCGATACAGATGTTCAAAGTGTGATAAAACAGGTCATAATTCTCGCAACTGCTTTGAAAATAAAAAGAAAAGCAAGTCTAGACGTTCTAACAAGAACAAATCTGGCCGTTCTAACAAGCGCAAGTCCAAGAAAAAAGGCAGTGTTAATATTACTACTGTAGATTCGGGTTCTGACTCTGATTCTAATACCAACTCTTCAGATAATGAATCTAATTCTGACTCTGAGTCTGGATCTGTTTCTGGTTCTGAATCGGAATCTGATTCTGAGAATAACTTTACTGAGGATGACATCGTGAAAATTATAAATGCTGTCAATGCTGTTAAATCAAAAAAAAAGTAAAGCGAAAGAGTAAATTATCCTCTAAAAAGAAGTCTAGTCCAAAGAAGAGACAGAGTCTCGAATCTCCGATTCAACGTACTTCACAAAAGAAATCAGGTACGATTATCGACTCACAAATTCGAAAAATTATTCTAGCTATGTTTAATGATCCAGAGGTTATAGAAACAATTAAAAACAATATTAATAATACGAATTTATCTATGACTCGAAGAGTCGCTCCTGAAGGGCCTGCAAAACCTGACTTTATAAATTTTCGAGAGCCGGCCCCAGAAATACCCGCATCAGATGACGAAGAGGAGACGCTGAACGATCCTATGGAGATTGATTTTGTCCGTCGGAAAGAACCGGTAATTAGTATTGCAACTATACCAGTTAAAATTAAACGCTTAAAAATTCCAGCATTGGTACTAGATAGTGGCGCTGAACCTGCAATTATATCAGAAGATATTGTTAAACGTATAGGCGGGAAAATAGATAGGTCGGAAAAATATGATCTTAGTGGTGTTGCTACTGTTCCAACGGAATCTATCGGCATCACTCGTAATTTACCAATAACATTTTCTCCAGGTTTTACTATACGTGAAGATTTTGTAGTTGTACGCGTTCCCAAACCGACATTAATATTCCCAAACCCGCTTCTCAAAAAATATAAATGTGCCGTAGATTGGGGTAACGATAAAATGAAAATTCATTATAAAGGAGAAGATTTTATTATTCCAGTTACTATGCACAAAGTCAAAAACAAGCTCGAAGTAAATTGCGCTACCGCATCTCAGAATGATAGGGACGGAGTCCCATTGCTTTGCAATAAGCCTTTGGTATCCGATCAACTTTCTCAAGAGACGGATAGTGATAAGGATAACAACGTACCATTAGAAGAATGGCATGCTCCTGTGGGTTTCAGCCCAGATTCTGATGATCCGTCGTTAAAAAAAAACGCATGAGTTATGAGGAGTTAGAAAAATCGCTATATGAGGTACTTGCATCCAATGTTAAATTAATCGAACTCAATAAAAAGTTGCGGGTTTGCCGAAGGCAGTCACACAGTGACTATAAAAATGAATCTGATAACTTAAATGAAAAGATTACCAATATCGATATAGAGAAAGCAAAGATAGATTAGTTGGAATTCAAAATTCTTTCTGTTTCACGCTCAGCTTCTTCTGTTTCTTTACGATTACGTTCGATTAAAGTATATAGGTCATCTTTTTTTGTTATACTATTAACCATATCAGCTTTACTAACACTATACGAAAGACATGATTCTTTAATATTAGGCAATTTAGAAATTCGATCAGACTTAAATCTCTTTGTTTTTGTTCGCTTACTCGATTGTGCTGGCTCTATTGCGGAACAAGCCGAAGGTAACCCTAAAGGGTCATGGCTCTTCAAGCCTACTGATACATTATCCAAAGATTGAGATTCTATATGAAGGACATTCATGGTAGAATCGGATATATTAGCGGAGCTAGTGTCAAGACACTTAGTATTTTGATTAGAGTCATCATAATATAAGTGAGGTATGGGTTGATCCCAAAGAACTCTATTAGCTTCTTCTCCTCTCCAAATCTGATAAATACGTTTTGATGATGTTTTATATTTATCTAATAATTCCTTTAAAATTTTGTATCTTGGCTTTATATCACGGCATTGCATAATATAAGTATAATCATTTGGGGTAAACTGAGGTGCATCGCATTTCATACGTACTCTAACCATAATGATAAACACTTTATTCTTTTTGTTGTTTTGAAAATATATGATATTTATATCTAGTAAAAAATATGAAATATATTAAAAAAATGTAACATATTAAATATATAGATCCGATACTCGTTTAATATGAATATTCTAAGAGACAAAGTCTCCTTTCTTCGAAAGATCCAATACATGCATATATTCCATTTGTTACATATATTCCATATGACGTATCAAGCTCAATATACACGTATATTCAACTTTTCTAATATGGAAGTTCACTATATAAGTTATATATATCATCAATTTCTTTATCCCAATTAATGCTTTGTTTATTTTCGGCTTGGTATATGTGTTCAGTAGGGTCTATTGGCGGATGATTTTCCCTCCATATTTGATATACACGCCTTGTTGATATTTTATATTTGATAGCCATAGCTTCTGATGCACGTTTCATCGAATTTCTGGCATTAATGATATCTTGTATATTATCATCTGATAAAGGAGTTGCATCAGATCGCAG